ATGCTTGCAAGGCTTATGTGATGTGCATTACCGAGAGGGCCCAGAGATACCTCTCCAACAATCGAAGTGACAAATCCTAATCTCGAAATACGCCAACCCAAGATTTACCTTTGGAGACACCTGTAGAGCTCCTTTATAATCACCCAGTTACGTTGTGACGTTTGGTAGCACACAAAGTGTTCCTCCGGTAAACGGGAGTTTCATAATCTCATAGTCATAGGAACATGTATAAGTCATGAAGAAAGCAATAGCAACATACTAAACGATCGGGTGCTAAGCTAATGGAATGGGTCATGTCAATCACATCATTCTCCTATGATGTGATACCATTAATCAAATGACAACACATGTCTATGGTTAGGAAATATAACCATCTTCGATTAACGAGCTAGTCAAGTAGAGGCATACTAGTGACGTTTGGTTTGTCTATGTATTCACACAAGTATTATGTTTCCGGATAATACAATTCTAGCATGAATAATAAACATTTATCATGATATGAGGAAATAAAATAATAACATTATTATTGCCTCTAGGGCATATTTCCTTCAGTACAAAGGCACCAAAGGCGGTTGCAGTGTGGTGCTTGAGGCGGTGGCCACACAGGACCTTTGGATTTGGCACTGCTTCTTTGGTATGCCAGGAACTCACAATGACATCAACGTGCTGCAGTGCTCTCCTGTCTTTGCCAAGCTTGTTGAAGGTCATTCTCCTCTGGTGAACTTCGAGATCAATGGGCGGCACTACAATAAGGGGTACTATCTAGCTGATGGCATCTATCCGAGATGGTCGACATTTGTGAAGACCATCTCAAACCCTGTGCCAGGAGGCAAGAACGACTGGTTTGCGAAGATTTAGGAGGCGTGCAGGAAGGATGTCGAGCGGGCATTTGGTGTGCTCCAATCTCGATTTGCTGTTGTCCGGTACCCCGCTCAGACGTGGTCCAAAGATCAAATGTGGGAGATTATGACTTGTTGTGTCATCTTGCACAACATGATCATCGAGAGCGAGCAAGAAGACCCAGTGTTTGACACTGAACCATACTACAGGCAGGGTCCTCTAGCCGAAGTTGATCACCAGCTATCGGCAACTTGGACTACCTATCTCAGTATGTGTCAGGAGATCTGAGACCCACAGGTGCATCATCAACTGCAGAAAGATCTGATTGAGCACCTATGGAGGCTCAAAGGGGACGCTGTGTGATGAAATACGAGTTTTTATTTGTTGAACTATATAATTTGTATCGAACTATTTGTTGTTGTACTATTTTGTTGAAGTATTTGATTTTGTGATGAAATATGTGGTAAGAAAAAATTGTGTTGATAATTGAACGCCGAGACACGACGAACCACGCCGAATATGGGCCTATTCTCGCTCATATAGGCCCTTTATTCGCCGAAATGGGGCTGCAAAATGGACCAATTTCGGCGCCTGGGAGCGAGTTGGGGGCGACGACTGGATGCAAAACCGCCCCCAGCGCCGATTGTATCGCCGGCTCGCCCCCAGGAGACGTCATCTGCCACGCCCGCCCCAGCGAGCTGCTCGCCATCGTCGGGCCCAGCGGAGACGGCAAGTCCATGCTGCTCTAACAAGAATGAAATCAAAATCCCTCCCGCCGGCAGGGTGCCAAAATCCTCCGCACCTCCATGGCTCATAGGCCTACGGAGATGGGGCGGACTGGTGGCGGCACGGAGAAGGGGCTGCTTGTGGAGGAGAAAAGAGATACTCTTTCAACAATCTCACTTTGTTAGCACGCATGCCTGTTTAGATTTTTAATCGGACAAATCCAATTTCCTAAACTATGGTTGCAACGACGGAGAGTCGAACTTAGTGAATATGCCAAAATGGCAAAGAGGAGCATGGGCTCGCTGGATGAACCCTTGATTTTTTTATTTTTTTGCAAGAAAAATTATTAATATATTCATCAACAGTAAAGATAGTACGGTAACAAAAATTATATTTAGTACCGTAGACCACCTAACGACAACTACAAGCACTGAAGCAATGAATCAGAAGAATTCAAGCTGTAAACATACGAACACACACGAACGAAGAACAGATCCACGTGGATTCACTAAAGACAAATACCGACCAAATCCCGTGAGATATGCCGCAAACAAACCCCCACACGTCCTCCGACGATACTAGAAGCACCGCTGTAACATGGGCTAGGAGGGAAGAATCTTATTCCATCTTTCAAGAGCCACCACCGCCTGGCCTCTCTGGGCAGAACACAAACCCTAACAAAACTCGAAAGAAACATCCAAAACGAAGCCCTACAGTCTGCAAGGGCCGAGATCCACCACGCCTTCATGGCCCTAAGACCATAGGAGACCATGCAGACCGGTGGCGACGTCGACTGGAGGCACAAAAACCATAGCTGCATGCCCTTCTCAATACGAAAAGTTGAAAACAAACTAGACGAAGACTTGATTAATATAGAAAAAAGTCCATTTTACTCCCCTGAACAAGGTAGGTGGTTTACTTTACCCCTGATTTATTTTTTGGCTCCTTCTAGACCCCAAACAAAACCAAACCGGACAAAACACCCCCCGGCTGGTTTGTCTCCATTCGAGGCTGATGTGGCACAGTCAACGACGGTTTTGACCGGGGTGGGGCCTACTTGTCAGGTTGGACTGTTATGAGCTGCCATTGCGACCAGGGAAGACCAGCTATGCGCAGGTGCGCCAGTGGGGCGGCGCAACGCTGCAACCTGCGGGGACGAGCATGCCAATGCGGAGCGCGGCGGCGTACAAGAGCGCTACAGCGCGTAGGAGCAACCGAGCAGGAGCACGACGGTACGGGGGTGCAGCAAGGCGAACGCAGACCGGGACGAGGAGCAGGGATGCTTCGAGGAGTTGACGACCATGCCAAATAGCCGACGTTTACGTTTTCTCCTTGATGCCGCCGGTGGCCCTGCTGCACATGCCCCTCCGCCAGTATGCGGCAGCAGCCGGTGCCGCCTCATGCTCCGCAACGTCATCTGCCACGCCCACCCCGGCGAGCTGCTCGCCATCGTCGGGCCCAGCGGAGACGGCAAGTCCATGCTGCTCGAGATCCTCTCCGGCCGTCTCAAGCCGAGCTCCTCCCCTCCTACTGACCTCCGCGTCAATGGCTCCCCGGTCGACACTGTGGCCCTGCGCCGCCTCTGCGGCTACGTCACCCAGCACGATGTTCTCTTCCCGCTCCTCATCGTGCGCCGCGAGACGCTCCACTTCAGCGCACGCCTTCGGACGCCTCGGTTCGGACGCATACGACCCCACCACAGTCGACACGCTCATCGACGACCTCACCCTGACCCGCATCGCGGACGCCAGGGTCAAGGACTTCTCTGCTCGCCATCGTCAGCCCCAGCGGCGCCCGCCACCTTCCAAGAAGACCAGCACGTACATGGTATCATCATGTGCCACTCCACTCCAAGCTCACACTCCCATGCCCATGTACGCCCACCGAGCAAGCTAAACTAAGCTCAGCCAAGCCCAATCATGAATCATCCAAGCTTCACCCGAGCTTCAGCCAACACAAACCGTAAAGCTAGCAACCACGAAGCTCATCGTCTTCCATGCATCCGGCAGGTGAAGCACCACCTTTACTAGCAACCATCCAGGAAGACGACGAGCCAGGCGGGAACGGGGTATGTAGGTACGCACATATCCGTCGAGTAGGACCGATGGCGTGCTCGAGTAGCAACACGACTGGCGACGAACAGGATGTGCGATGGCGGGTTTCCTTCGCCGCCGATCTTATCACACGCACAGTCTCCTTCTCCGACGGCGTGCTCACGCTACGGCGAGACGCTCTCCGCCTCGTTCTCTCGGACAGGCGCGGAGTTACGGTGGACGCGCGGTTTCTCCGTGCAGGGGAAATCGTCGACATCGGCAAGATTGTTTCCTTCCCGTGTCATTTCGCGAAGATTCGAGATCGACTACCGGCAGCGAGAGCTACACCGACGAAGGAGGCGCGGGGCGAGGGATGTGGCAATGCGGTACACGGGAAGGGCACGGGGCTGCGTGTGCGTGGGCCAAGTCCAGGCGAAACGGACCCAAGCCCCACTCACCGCCCGCCAATGAAGGATGCAAGCCACGTGGGAGCTGATACGGCCATCCATCCCCATCGGCAGGTGGGAAACACTGGTATAAAGCCCCCGCTTCGCCCGATCCTTGACCTAGAGGAATCATTCTCCCACTTCTGGGCGGCGGAGAAAAACCCTAGATCGAGAAATTCAGAGTCGTTCGAGTGGTGGAAGGGCAAGGTCGGAGGGGATCCCAGATCCTTTGCGGAGGTCGCGACCGCTAAGGTACCACCTCCTCCCATGGCGACCGAGGTGGGGCACGGGAACCATGGAGGGGGCGGAGCGGGACATGCGAACCGCGGGGGAGGGCGGCAACCTGGCCATGGCAACGGCCGCGGAGGCGACCGCAGCAAGTTCTCATGGAAGCGGGACGAGGGAAGCGGCCACACCAACTCTACATCCTCCACAATTGTGCCGGCCTCGGAGGGCGCCTCGCGGTGGGACGAGGCGTCGGCGCCCAAGCATCGCGACCAAGACGGCGGGATCTGGGTGCAGAAGGCCAAGGAATCGTCCGAATCTGGCGGCATCTCCACCGGGCATCAATCTTCTTCACCTTGATGCCACATACAGGGAATACAAAACCCTGCTCAGGTGCCTCCGTCCAAAAAACCCATTGCCTGCCCCATTTGCAAGTCTTATGAACATCCTCCTATTCGATGCCCTCAAGCATATTGTGAAAGATGCGGCAAATTAGGACACCTTGCTTCTGTTTGTACTGAATTTCTGCCATGGGAATGTGTGGCACCGATGTGTGAGTTCCAGGGCAAAGTGCAAGGGTTTTACTATATCCATGACGCTTCCTCTGCCAACCAGCTTAAAGAGAGGGCTAATAACATTGTGGTCACGATTGTAGAGGGAGAAACATCTACTAGACAAGTGGAACTTGATTTATCTGCTTACTTAGCTACTGATTGGCGCTGTTCAGCTCATGCAAATAGGACCAGGGACCTTTGTAGTGCGCTTTCCTAATCCTCGAGCAGTGGCCCAAATTTGCTATGTGGGGAAAATCACTCTTAAAACTAGCGGGGCTGTTATTCATGTTACTAAATGGTCATCTGCTGTTGGGGCTAAAGGGGTTATGGAAATAGCTTGGGTCAAAATTAGCAATATCCCTCTGGACAAAAGGAGTAATAGGAATCTGGCTTATGTTGCCTCGCTGGTGGATGTTCCTTTGGAAGTAGATGCTGCTACCTTGCACCGTCCGGCATCTGTCGGGGTCCGGATTGGTTGTAGAAATGTGGAGGAGATTCCTGCAGTCGCAGAGCCTGTGCTTGGTGATCATTTTTATGATTTCTTTTATGAAGTGGATCAGATTCTGGTGAGGGATCCTAATAGAGAGAAAAAAGTTGTTCAAGCTTCCTCTAATCCTCGTGAAAAAAATATGGAGATGAAAAATTCCTTGTTGTCGACTCCTGGAGCTAACCTGGGTAGTTTTTCCACTGGGCTTGGAGGGAAATCTCCCTGCATTCCCAGGGGGAAAATAGGACCCTATTCGGGAGTCACAGGAGAGTGTGGAATCTGATGAGTCACTGCACACGACCTTGTTTTTAGATTCCCTCAATCAGGAGACAATGGATGAAAAAGTTGAGAAGGTGGTTGGGGAGGCCAAGACAGCCAAAAATAATGAATACAGAGTGGAGTTTCCTGATATGGAGGGGGATATTGAAATGATCCCTGCTCCTCCCCTGGTCACTGAAGAAAATCTTCGGTTCAGTCTGAGGAATGCACAGAACAAGATGGAGAGGGTTGACGAAAAGGCCAGGGAAGCTGCAAAAAAGAGAGACATCGAAGGTACTCCTCGAGTCCCCAACTCTTTTGATACGCTATCTCATCCTGAACTTATTCTTAGAGCTGTGAAAATGGGGGTAAACATCCCAGATGCTGATTTTACTAATGTTGATATCATTAGAGAATTAGAAAAATGTAGAAATGTGGAAACTGTTAAGGACAAACAGACTCAACCTTCTGTGGGTGGGGGACATTTGGTATTAACTAATGCAAAAGGGGACCAGACTCCTCTTAATATGAACTGGGAGGATAATGGTGATGTGGATAATGATAACTTTGTTGTGGTCCGATCTAGGAAGAAAAGAGAGAGAAAGATTAATGTGGTGATAGCTAGACCTTGCACTAGAAGTCAAAAAGAGGGGGCTTCCTTGCAAAATGTTGCCAGTGGATCTACTCTGCTTCCTAGTAGAAACACCAGGCAGGGGGGTGTCAAAAAGAAAAAATGAATGGTATATTTTGGAACTGCAGGGGAGCAGGTAAGAAAGGGATGACTACCTGCTTCGCTGATATAGTAAAAGATCATTCCCTGGACTTCCTTGGTATCCAGGAAACTAAGAAGAAGAATTTCACCCCTAAACTCCTTAGAAAAATTGACCCTCTTGATAAGTTCAATTGGAACTGGATCCCTTCGATTGGTAAGTCTGGAGGCATATTGTGTGGGACTAGGAGAGAAACCTTGGAGATTATTTCCTGGTCGGGGGTGAATTCCTTATGCAGACTACTGTCTTTGATGTGAACCTCAAATGTGTGTGGACCCTAGTGGTGGTATATGGGGCAGCCCAAAAAGAGAGAGAAAATGATTTCCTTGCAGAATTGGCTACGACATGTGCCACGATTAGTAATCCTTATGTGGTTGGTGGTGATTTTAATATTTTACGTGAAAGTGGTGACAAGAATAAAAAATTAACCTACTCCCAATATACAGATAGCTTCAACGCTATCATTCAGTCCCTGAACCTTAGAGAGATTCATACGGGAGGGGGAAAATACACCTGGTCCAATAAGCAAAAACACCCTATGCTGGAGAAACTGGACAGAATCCTTATGAACCCTACTTGGGAAGATCTATTCCCTATGGTTACAGTTCGTAAGTTGGTACGAGATGTCTCAGACCACAACCCGTTGTTGCTGTCGACGAACCCTATTAGAAAAAATCCCACCCGGCAGCGCGAATTCAGATTCGAGCTGAGCTGGCTTAAGAATGAGGATTTCTTTAGGACGGCTAAAAAGATTTGGGAAAGAACTGTGCATTCTGATGATCCTATCGATATCCTTAATATCAAGTTGAAACGCCTCAAGAAATATTATAAAGGGTGGGGGGCACATTCCTTTGGGCATGCTAGAAAGAGGAAAAAATGGATTAAGGAGGAGTTGGAAAAAATAGAAAAACAGGAAGAAGAAGGCCCCCTCGACCCGGAATCATATGAGAGGAGGACAACCCTAAATATAGAGCTTAATGAAATCCTTGCAGATGAGGAACTTTTTTGGCTGCAACACTCTAATGAGCATTGGTTACTTAAAGGGGATCAAAACACAACCTATTTTCATCGAATAGCCAATGGCAGAAAGAGAAAAAACACGATACACTCCTTTACTGATGGAGAAGTTATTATTGAAGGGACTCAAAATCTCCTTGACCATGCCACTGCCTACTATAAAAATCTTTTTGGACCTGCTAGTGGAAACTTATTTCACCTTGCCCCTGATACTTGGATGGATGAAGAAAAACTTACGGAAGAAGATAACCTGATCCTTACAAGTGAATTTACAGAAGAGGAAGTTAAAAAAGCCTTGTTTAGTATGGAAAGTAACAGAGCGGCCGACCCTGACAATATCCCTGTGGAATTCTATAAACACTGTTGGGAATTTGTTAAAAACGATATTATGCACCTATTCAAAGCGTTCCACAACAATACCTTGGATGTGGCACGCCTGAACTATGGTGTCATAACACTGATTCCTAAGATGAATGGAGCAAAGAAAATACAACAGTACCGCCCAATATGCCTCCTACGATGCCCATACAAACTGATCACGAAAGTTCTGGACAATAGGGTTGCGGTATTTGCTGATAAGCTGATTAGCAAGCACTAGAATGCTTTTATCAAGCATAGAAATATAATGGATGGAATCTCACGCTACATGAGGTGTTGCATCACACTCATCAAAAGAAAAAATGTGGGATTGTATTAAAATTGGACTTTGAAAAAGCATACGATAAGATAAACTGGGACTTCCTGCTAGAATGTCATCGTAATCGTGGCTTTGGGGCAACCTGGTGTGGATGGATCGAACGAATCCTACATAATGGCATGGTGAGCATTAAACTGAACAATGAAACAGGTGCGTATTTCCAAAGTCACAAGGGGGTCCGGCAAGGCGATCCCCATTCTCCTTTCCTTTTTAACCTGGCTATAGAGACACTCTCGAAAATGGTTCTTAATGCACAAAAAGAGAAAATGCTGACGAGCTTAGCACCTGACTTGATTGAGGGGGTGTGGCTATCCTGCAATATGCAGATGACACTGTAATATGTTTTGAACATGATAAGGAAGCGGATGTGAATCTGAAGCTTCTATTGTACCTGTTTGAACTTATGTCAGGACTGAAGATCAATTTTATGAAAAGCGAAATCCTCTATGTCGGTGGAGATGATAGTACCCTTTCCTTTTATGTTGATCTCTTTAATTGTAGTATTGGACATTTCCCAATGAAATACTTGGGAGTCCCAGTCAGTTTCTCTTCTTTGCGTAGCATAGACTGGGATTTTATGGATGAGAGGTTCCTAAATGTTGTGAATCCTGGATTGGTAATGCAGCATCTTCGGGTGGGAGGCTCATCCTTCTCAATTCCTCATTAACTAGCATTGTCTTTTACTACATGTCTATGTTCCTTCTTCCTAAAGGGGTGATTGAGAAACTGGATAAACACCGTAAGCGGTTCTTTTGGCAAGAACATGAGGGGCGTAAACAATACCATCTAGTGAGATGGAATAGAATTTGTAGATCCAAAGAGAAAGGGGGACTGGGAGTCAAGGATCTTCATAAACAGAATTTAAGCCTCCTCACCAAGTGGTGGTGGAAGCTGGAAACTAAACAAGGGCTATGGCAGGATGTGATCCGGGCCAAGTACTTTAAGCAAGACACGGTGACCTCTGTCAAAACTAAATTCAATGACTCGCCAATCTGGAAAGCAATCATGAAAACTAAAGATTACTACCTGGCTGGCAGAAAAGTGAATTTACAATCTGGAGATCTTGCTAGACTATGGGTTGATCCAGTTGGCAATGAACCTCCCCTCCAGTTGCAGTTTCCTATGATTTATGATATTTGCAATGATCAGGATATCACGGTTGCTAAGTTCAGGGAAGGGGTGGAGGAAAAAAACTTTTTTAGAAGGCAACTCCACCCTCCCATGCTTGAGCAATGGAGTAATATCAAATCTATAGTGGGGACTTGGCCGATGACTGGCGAAGCCGACCAAGTGGTCTGGACCTTGGGGAAGAAAAGTAGGTTTACTACGAAATCTATTTATGAATATTTGGAAAGAAATGTGGCGGGGGCAAACTACAAGTGGATATGGAAAGCAAAAATTCCCCTTAAAATTCAAATTTTCCTTTGGCAACTGTTTCAGGACGCTATCCTAACTAGAGATGTGATGAGTAGACGAAAGTGGCTGGGAAATCCTGCCTGCTCCTTCTGTGCGGAGAGAGAAACATCCCAGCATCTCTTCTTCACTTGCCCTGTGGCCAGAGTCCTCTGGAGGACTGTAGGCTGTGTACTGGGCACGGATCTGTGTCCAAGTAACATTTTGGCAGTACTATTCATGGGCTTACATGTTTTTACCTGATGGGGAGAAATTTTATACCTTTGGTCTAGCAGGTTTCTGTTGGGCGATGTGGATTAATCGTAACAGTGTTACCTTTGAGTCTAAACAGATGAGGTCCCCTTTTGATGTGGTTTACTTTGCATGTGGTTTTCTTACCTACTGGGCAGGTTTGATGACAGGAGATGATCGAGAGATGATGGAGCGCGGAGCCAAGATGTTGAGGACCAATGCGTCGAACATGATGCGGATATGTGCAGCGCCGAGGGGAACCTCAAACTGAGAGCTGAAGCGTTTGCTGCTGAAAGATAGTTTGTTTGCTCCTGCGTGAGTGCTTAACTATATCTGGAAAAATAGTCCTTTCGCCCCTGCGTGGGCTCATGGTTTATGTCTGGAGTAACCCTCCTAAAACTTGTTGGAATTCTCCTGGTTAGAGTTAGTCGGCTGGTTTTAGGGTGTCGTTGGGTTTTCGCCCCATGGTGAGCTACTCGATGACGAGTGCTCATTGTGGGTTTCCCAGCGGTGCTTTGAGCTCGCTTCCCCTTTCTAGGTCTCCTTTTGAACTCTTAAAACTATTTGTATTTTCGTTATGCTAAGTAATGGAAAGGGGTTATGCCCGGCTCAAAAAAAAAGGAAGACGACGAGCTAGCGAGCGAATCAATGAAGAGCGGAGGAGGAGTAGAAAGCATCAGGTGCGAGGTGGAGGCCGCGGGCATCACTGTCTCCGCCCTGCCTCACCCGCTCAAGATATGGAGCAGGCCCGACGACCTCCTCCTTGACGCCACCGGCGACCCTGCTGCGCCCGCATCTCCGCCAGTGAGCTACAGCAGCCGGTGCCGCCTAGTGCTTCGCAACGTTAGCTGCCGCGCGCGCCCCGGCGAGCTGCTTGCCATCATCGGACCCAGCGGT